CCTAGGACACTGCCTTCTCTGCAAGACTTCCTGCACCCTTAGGATGGTATGCTCTTGTCCCACCATCTATTTGATTCTTCAGGCATGATCTTGCTCACAGTCCAGTAGTATTCAAATTCCATGTGGACAGGACCACCACCCGTTCAGCTTATGCACTGTGGATTCCCTTGAGTTCCCAGGTGTTCCCTGTGTCTCTTCAGCTTATCCAGAAGCTAGACATTGAACTGTCACTTAACACTGACTGTCATAATAAACAAGAGAAGCATTGTGCAGTTACCCACCAGGTGACCCACTAGGAAAGCATGACAGGAAAGGACCCAAAAGGGGAACTGGAAGAAGAACCCTGAAACCCAAAGATTCATGAGCCAAGCAACTGGGTTGTTGAGCAGGCTTCCAGGCCCTGTACACCAGGGATTCTCACCAAAAGTCAGTATTTTATACTCAAAGAACCAATGTGTTCACAGCTGCCCTCTGGGTGCCCTCTCTCTCTCTCTCTCTCTCTCTCTCTCTCTCTCTCTCTCTCTCTCTCTTTCTCTCTCTCGCTCAGCACAGCCCCCCTCTTCAGCTTTGAAGCTAGGGCAAGAACAGCTGTGAACCAGCTGCAGGGGAGCAGGCTGCAGTCAATGCCAGGTTCTTTTCCACATATGCCAATCTGAGATTCCCCTGCCTAGGAAAAGGGGCCTCTCCTTTTCTTAGCTCCCTTCCTCCCTGTCCTTTCCACAAGACATAGACATTTATGTATGTCCCACGCTACCACCCTACCAGCTCTTGCCATGGGCTCTTCCCTGGGAAGGCTGTGGATGTAACTGTTTAATGGTGGATGGAGGGCTGGGTACTCAGAGTAAGAAGCCAGCAATGTCTTCTGGCCAGGTGCACAAGCAGTGCAAGTGCCCATGGCAGGTGTTCACAGCAGTGCAGCTTCTCCCAGAAGCGGTGCTGTCTGCTCGAGGATATGCTTTCCATCCATCCAAAGGGCTAGCCTGGCTCCTCCTTACATTCTTGGCTCTAGACAGCAAGAGAAAGTGCTTCCTAGGCTGTGAGGCAGGCCAGAGGAGACATGGTAGCTTCCCAAGATAGCCTAACCTTCTCTAGGCCTCTGGTGAAGTGTGCAAGCTAGAGTTGAAGGGGCACACAAACACAGAAGTTAGTCCCTGTCTGGAGTAGCCTGGAGTCACACACAAAGGTGTATTGACAATGATGATCTGTGTCTTCTGACCCCCTGCACAAGACTGCCACTGGTTCCTGAAGAGCTAAAACAGCTGTGTGGTTGCCTCCTCCTCAGGAGTTCCAGAGGCCTCAGGAAATGCCTGTTCTTCCTTCCTGTCCCCACCCCTTTCTTCCTCCTCCTAGGCATGGGAGGCCAGAGGGCAAGAGATTGCTGCTAGTGCTGCTGCTGCTGCTCTGTTCCATGGGCCAGCAAGGACGTTCTGTTCCCATCCTTTCTATAGCTGAGGTCTAGGTTTTTTCCTCAGAGAGAGCTGAGGCATGAAGACATGGAACTAGAAGAGAGATGGGGGCAGGCTTGAAGACTGAGAGGTACTGCCTGGATGCTCTGGGAGTTGCCCCCAAATTAGAGAGCTAGGTTAAGTGATTCAATGGGCCTTGGGCTGGGCATGAAGTTATAGCTTATTGCAGACTGCAAACCACAGACACAAGGGCCTTCCAGGCACAAAAACTGTGTTTACGGAAGTGTTACCCCGACCTATGCTCCAACTTTGAGGAAGAACCTCAAAGTGCACAATTGACCTCTCTCCTGGCCCCAATGCAAAGGGTTACCTTCTTACTATCCCAAGCTTCATCCAGGAAGAAAGACAGGCTGTCTCACTGCTCAACTTCCCACCTACCCCTAAGGCACATTTTTTAGGCTATTCCCTACACCCTCTGCAAGGCAAAGGCTCCCTTTTGCTTGTCCTAGTCTGCTCATTGTTCACAGTTCCCCCAGAAAGTCTTCCTGAGCCTCTTTCTGATGCTACATGTAGTAATCCTGTTGAGGCCAGAAACAAGAACACATGCCTGCCTCCTTGTGGAACTCAACTATGTCCCAGGAGTCCTCCTAGTGTAGTGGTTCTCAACCTGTGGGTCATGACCCCTTTGGAGAATTGAATGACCCTTTCACAGGGATCACCTAAGACCATCAGAAAACACAGATATTCACATTACAATTCATAACAGTAGCAAAATTACAGTTATGAAGCAGCAATGAAAATATTTTTATGATTGTGGGTCACAACATGAGGAACTGTATTAAAAGAGCATAGCATCAGGAATATTGAGTGCTCTAGTGGATCATGGAAGCTCCATCTTGTGATCACTATGTCCAGGGTACTTCTCGACACTGGGGCTGTTGGAAGCCTGAATAACAACCCCTGGAACAGTATAGGCTCAGGCTAAGTGGTACCAATCAATATTCAATAAGAAATTTGTAGACAGGTCCCTGGAGCAGTGAATGTATATTCTGTGAGGTTTCACCCTTAAAATAAAAATCTTGACTAGGCATGGTGGCAAATGCCCCTACTCCAACACTCAGGACGTAGAGGCAGAAGGATCATTCTGGTTCAAAGTCATTCTGGACTACATAGCAAATATGAGTTCAGCATGGGCTCCAGGGGACCCTATGTCAAAAATGAAAATAAAACAACAAAAAAGGAAGACTTGCTGAGATATACTTGTTGGGTGTAGTAATGGCCCACTCTTGAAATTTAATCATTCGCGATGCAGATGCAGGTTATTTAGTGACAGTTTATCTCAAAACTAAAAGAAAATAAGAGGTAAAAGATATATAAAAACACAAAGCATACAGTTTAAATGACCAACCCAACTCAGCAGTTTTCACTCCATATGTTCCAAGAACTTTTATTGTTTCAAACTGAAGACTCCAAACTGGTGAGATGGCTCAGTAGGCCTGATGATCTAAGTTTGGTCTTCTAGGACCCACATACTGGAAGGAGATAAGTCTCAATGGTTGCCCCCTGACCTCTACTCACATGTCATGTCAAGCATACCTACCAATCCCCCCACACAAAATAAATAAAATGTGTATTTTTTTAAAACCAGAAGATCCATGTATTTGGCGGTCAGTCTTCTATTCTGCTGCCCCCTCCACTCTCACACATCTGCTGTTTCTCTGTCTCTATTGGAGACCCTATTCTGGACCATCTCACATGAAGAGGCCAGATATAGTTTGGCCTTTTGCCATTGGCTACACTCAACAAGCAAAATGTTCCATATGTGCCTTGGACCTGCTTCAATCTTTACTGCCTTTCTGCTCCTGGTCTCTGCTGACATGTTTAGCCCAGATGAGTAGGTATGAGAGGGCAAAACCACTGGAGAGTAGGGCCAGAGTTAACACAAAGTGGCTGTGAATAGAGAATCTGAGGCTCCATGATGCTCTGTAGCTTCCAGGATGTTACTGTGCCAATTGCCAGATATATTTGAGTATGGCTAGAACAAAAGAAAAAGCCAGGGCCTGGGAGTAGTTGAATGGGAAAGCATTTGCTTGGTATACACAAGACCCTGCTCCCATCACTAGTACTAAAAATACACAAAGGAAAGAGAAAAAAGAAAACCCTGAAAGACATGAACCAAATGGATCGTGGTGAAGTACTCTGTAATTCCAGCCCTCAGAAAGCAAAGACACGAGGATCAGGAGTTCTAGACCAGCTTCACTTACATAGTCAGCTAGGGCTACGTGAGATTTTGTGTGTGTGTGTGTGTGTGTGTGTGTGTGTGTGGTATGTACATGAAATAGCAGACAAAACCAACAGCCTCAGTCTGGAGGATCTGTGTGTTTCCTAGTCTCCTGGTGGTCTCCCGGTCTGGACCATAGACTCCAAAGGCACCCACAGGCTCCCAACACATATCCAGCTTCTTCCATTTTTCTCCTCTCTGCAGGAAGAGGAAAAGCTTCTTGAAGGAAAGCGCCACAGCTGGACACTGAGCTGATTCTGGATCCAGGCAAAATCCTTACTAGAACCTCAGTCGCCAGGTGGAGCCTTGTAGTGACTGATGCTCACCCCTCACCCTGATCTCTATCCAGTGATACTCTGCTTCCCTCCTTGTTTGCCCATCCCTACTCTTGGTCCTTCATTCCTTCTTCAGCTTTCATTGTGGCACTTTGATTCAGTCTCTCCCACCATCTAAGAGCTCTCACCTTTATCTCTTAGAAGCTGCACTAGCAAAGGAGAGGTAGGACATCACTGGACAGGTAGAGGCCCTTCTTGAGGTTGGGCCCTCAAGAAGCAGCTAAGGTTTGTCAGGCTGGCCCAGTTATGCCCTGAAGGTGACCTGAGGAAATGCCCGTAACAGAGACCATGGTTATGGTATTCTGGCCACCCTGTAGGGGTTGAGCAAGAAAATGAGGGGCTTAGTTCCTCTTCTCCACATCAGCTTTGGCAACGTTTCAAAGACTTCAGGGAGGTAATCCAAAAAGGTCTCCAGGACCTGGGGGCAAATCCTTCTTTTTAAAGGAGGGGGTAGAGAGCTTACAGAGCCCCCATGAGCCTAGATAAAGCCCTTCCAGAAACGTACAATCCTCTACTTCTCTGATCCTCAAGTCACCCCCTTGTTTGAAACCAAGCAGAGGTTCTGGGTGGAATTTGGACAGAATTCCCTGGCCATTCACTATCCTAGCCATAAGGCTATGTCCCCTCATGTCCTCTCACTTTCTTCTGCCCATTTGGGCAGTGGAAAGTTTGACTCTGTGAGGCTGTCTGTCCAGAGACACCAAGGGTCTGTCCCTAAGTAAGTGAGTGTGTGTCCTTTCAAAGTGTGCCTGAGACAGGGGCCAGGGTGGTGGACATGGGGGGAGGGGTGCCACATAGCCTAGCCGTCTACAAGAAAATTGCTTCCTTTGAAGCTGCCAGGGGGCTGGGAAGCCTGCCCCCTCCCTCCCAGCTGCCCTTCCTCCCTTCTTCTCTCCCTCTCTGCTCCACCAGCCCCCTCCCTCGTCTCCCTCTCCGCCCCCTCCCTGTTCCTCCCCTCCCTGTCGGCCCGCCCTCCCAGCCTTTAGCCTCCCTCCCACCGCCTCTGTCTCCCTCTCTCCAAGAACTGCCCAGGAGTGAGCAGCTGCTCCCGGTTGGCCCTGCCTGACGGACAGACACAGGACAGCCTGACATCCTAGCCCACCAACTAACCAGCCTGCACCTGGCTGCTTCCCCCTCCCCAGGTAGGGCCTGCTCAAGCCCTGAACTGACTACACTCTCCCACAAACAATCTATCCTGACCGTCTTCATCCCTGGCCCTGCTGCATCTGCTACTTCACTCTGTATCTCTACTGCTTCATCACTGTTCTCTCTACCCTCCAGGGTACCCACCCAAGGCTCCTGGTCTGTGTCCTTTCGTGGACACTCTGTGGCCCCTGCGGTCCCTATCCCATTTCTACTGCTTCTGCCACCCTCTTCCCTGAACTTTCTTCCCACCCTTCCTTGCTTAGTTGGTAAACTCACCCATGCATGGCTTCTCTGCCTCGGGGGTGAGGGGTGGGGGTGCCAGAAGCTTCCCTTGGGTTGTTGCCTAGAACATCAGTGAGGCAGGGCTGGGTGGCTGGCATGCTGGCTCTACCCACAGCCCTATCCCTTCATGGGAAGGCCCAGGCACACCCTCCACTCCTGCTAGCCTCTCTCTCCCAGCTCAGCCTTTTTTGGGGGCTTGGCATCTGGCCAGGTCAGGGAGGGTAGGGACAATGCAAACCTCAGCATTGGCACACTCTCCCCTTGGAGTAGTCTGAGAGATTTGTGCTCCCAGGTACACTCCAGACACCTTGCTCTGCTATTCCACACTTACGACAGATGAATGGCCTGCCTCCACTCTCTGCTGGGCAAGGTGTAGGTCCACAAAGCCCCTGCTACAGGGGTCCTGGGTTCCCTACCTGGTTACCTCAATCCTATCTGTTCCCAGGACCCTCTTGAGCTGAGATGCAAAATGGGAAGAGGATGGGATGGATGTAGAAAATTGGGCAATTGTGCCATGTTCCCTGGGACAAATATGGCTTGGGGCCCTGAGGGACCTGTCAAGGGATTTAGGAGAGGGATCGAGGGAGACAGTCATTTGGGCATTCAAGGCTAGCAGGAATGGAAGGTTGGGGAACTGGAGTACCCTGTCACTGCCCCAGGGGTGGGATCAGGCTCCCATGTGCACAGAACCCTCCAGGGAGGAGCTAGCTGTAGGTGGGACAGGCACAGGAAATCTGCATTGGGCCAAGGACATAGCACCTGGGTGGCTCCAGTTTCATCTTTAGGAGCTTCTGCCCATGCTCTTTCTGGCCCGCTATCTTTCTGCCTTGTAATGGCTGAGGTTGAGACAAGCCGGAGATGCTCCCTAGATGCTAGCAAGATTCCCAGCAACTGGCATCTGGACATGCCACCAGTTGTCTCTGCCACCTACCCTCTAGGAGAACTTGTGGATGGGCAGGGGTACTGTGTGTGGAATATGACTGTGTATGGCTGCTGAAGGCCAAAGGGGGTGAACCTTTGAAAGCAGGCAGTATGGCTATACTGACAGGAAGATGTGGGTCTGAGTTTAAGCCACTAGGGCAAGGCAGCAGGAGGAAGCTCAAAGCCAGGGAGTAGAGAGGGCGCTACAGTCAGCTGGCCACCTGGGTGTGGCACCTGGGCCTCTCTGGTCCACTTTCCTCTCCAAAGGACTCTAGTCTCCCACTGCTTCTGTGCTCTACCCAGAGCAGGGGTCAAGGTCCTACGACTACATGCAAAGTAAATCTGAACCAACTAGTTTTAGGGACCCAGGTGGGTGTGCCAGCCACTGACCATCATGTCAGATAACTTGCTAGCACTGACCCAAATCTTTCCCCAGTCCCTCCCAAGCCCTAGGCTGTTGGAAGATTGGCAACATGGTAGGATAGAAGGAAAAGGGATGCCGTGGAGGTAAAAGATCTTCCTTCAGCAACATTCTGTAGCCATCCCGTGACGATGTCTGTATCCCTCCAGTCTCAGTGGACAATTTCCACTGGGATCGTCCCTAGATCACTCGATTCCTGTCATGCTTGATTCCTGTCATGCTGTGTTGGGGTGGAGTGGGGACTAGACTCCATTCTAATCTCCCTTTTTTCTATGGCTCACCCACCATAGTCTTTCACCTTCTCTCCCTATAGAAACAGAGTACAAGTCTATCCCACAAGCCACTAGTCCTTGGTCCCAAAGGATTCTCAGCATGCCTCCCCCATGAGGCAGTAACATCAAGAGCTTCTAATACTCCAACTACTAGAAGCCGTCAGCTTCCTTGTTCACCCACAATACCCCCTGAGTGCCTCCACATCCACCATGACTTCCTTCTGCTGTTCCTCCTTTGTCCTGCTCTCAAATGCCCCACCCATTTTCTAGTCTGGGCTCCACATCCCAATAGTCCTAGCAGCATGCCTTGCCTGTTGTAAGGGAGGCCAATTGGTAATAGGGAGGCACCCCAGCAGAAGATCTACCTCACACAAAGTAGGGGCAATGTGAATGAATGTTCCTGGATGCTTGGCCAAAGACTGCAGGGCAGGTACAGTCCCCTTCCAAAGACAAGGTAACCAGGGCACTCCTGCTCTGTCCCTGTCTGCTGAATTCTGGAACAGCTGGCATTATTCCTCACCTCCAAGAGACTCTTATTCCTTTGTGCTCAGACACACTGGGCTGGGGAAAGCCTATAGCATCACACCTTGACCACCCACAGAGTCCTTTCTGCAAATCTCACAGGGTGGAGGTGGGGCACAGGGAAGGGAGAGTGTGACTCACACTTGTCCCACGTTCAGACCTCAGACCATCCTTCAGCTTTCCAAAAAACAACAGATTCAGGTGTTCTCAGAGGAAGGCTAGGGTTTACTGCTGTCCGCTTCCAGGACAGTAAGTCCCTTATCCCACTTTTAAAGCCCACAGCCAAAGACTCCTTGGACATATCGGGGACTCCAGGTATGTCTCTTCACTCTGATTACCTTCTTCCCTGGTTCCTTATTGCTCTAAATCAAGAAGGCCCCAGGTGTGGCCTTCTGTGGGCTTTAGTGGCTGCCTGGCTGAAAATGAAGAGGCCTTTCCCACCACATCCAGAGCTCCCAGCAAGCAGTACAGGCCCTGGTATTGGGGAGAGAGTTCAGGAACCCGAAGGCATGGGAATAAAGGGGGCTCTCTGGGATCTAGAAGCCTTGCTTCTCTCTCCAGGAGTGGAGCGTGGGATGAGCAGATAGACAAACAAAGACAATGTGACATCTCAGCCTGACTTTTATCTCACTTTGAGACTATGGAAAAGTTTAGGACAAATATTCTTAGGCTCAGCTTACTAGATGCCTATCAAATGTTAATAATATATGGCCACCAGGGGTTAGGTAGGTAAAGAAACTACTTGAGTCTCCTTTTCTACCATTGAGAAGTGACAACATTCTCTTCTCCTTCGAAAATTCTAGCACATGGTGAGTAGGAGCCCAGATTTTGTTGATAACTTGGAAGAGATGGGCAGATACATGGGTCAAGTGCTAGGAAACCTACCACGTCCAACTGACCAGTGTCATCTGCTGTCAGACTCCTTTCCAGAAGTTTCTCAGTAAGGCAGGGACAAGCAATCTCCTTCAGTGCACCCACTACCTCTGTATATCCCAGGCACTTCTGACACGTGTATTTAGGTACAGACCATCCCCAAGTCTGTTGGAGAGTTTTATCTGACTTTATAACTATTCTGTCAATGGCAGGACCACAGGTAGTAAGATGTAGCCCTGACCAGCTTGGCTTGGACTCTGCTTACCTTGTAGCATACAGGAAAGCACACATCTCATCCCTCCGGTTGACACTTGAATGTTAGGCTGGAAGTAGGTGGCTTTAGAGAGCAACAGGAAACAGGTCAGTTGTCAGCTAACCTTTGATGATCAGAAGAACGAAAAACAGTGCCAAGTGTCTTCTGTCTCACACATCTCTTCACCTGTACAATCTCAGGAGCCTAGCAGAACTTTGTAGAAGGCAGCATCTTCCATTTATCACACTTGAGGTGGGATTGCTCAGCAGGGCCCAGTGCCCCAGGAGGAGGCTGCTGAGGCTGCATTTGGTGTCTGCTCCTTGGCAGCTGTCAGCCCCACATCTGCAGGCAAGTTCTCATAGCCTGCCAGACCTCAAGCCTTGTCCCTGCTGCCCTTGGCCTGGCCTGAATGCCTGGCACAGCCCTTCCATGTTCTCAGAGACTGCCAGCACGTCTTGCTTGGCTGTGGCCTGGAGCAATCCTGCATGGAGAACTACACTGGCTTTCAGAGGAGCAGACAAGGAGGGCCCTATTGGAGTGGTGGCACAGGCTCCAAGAAGTCCGTTCCCTTCCCTTGTTCACACCTGTGGTCGCCAAGCTCAGCCCACCATGATGACCACTTCTTTCCTTTACTCTGATGAGCTGGTGCCCAGCAAGCTCAGAGCTCACTACGATGGAGCAGAAGGATAGCCGAAGAGGCCAATGAAAGGAAACTGAGGCCTGGAAGCCCCAGTAGCAGGGGGAAGTGGGATCTGAGAAACTTTCTATAGGTCTTAACAGGGTCTGCTCTTAGATTCCTGCCTCAGGCTGAGTAAACAGAGGACTTGGGAAAATCTGCTCCTCTTTGTAGGCTTCAGTTCTGTCATCTGTAAAGTGGCACTGCTGGTGGTGTAGACGTGAAGAAGAACTACCATCCGCACTCTCCTAATTTGATGGAATCCTTCTTTGAGTTCTATGTCTGGCATGCCCCCTTCCCTGCAGAATATGAGTATTGAATCTGGTGCCAGTTTTCTGAGTGAAAATGAGGGAAGCCTGCCTTGTCCCCACCCCTTAAGCCTTGAACACTGAAAAAGCAGTTAAACTCCATCCTCCCTCTGCATGGGCCTTAAGCCTCCTACCCCAGGTTGAGCCTAGACTGGAACTGACAACAGGCTGGGATCTCTCTGTATCTTTCTCCTAGACCCCTCAAATCTACTCATATAATCCCCCTAGGATTCTGTAGCTCCTTTCTCTGGGTGAAGTGGCTTGTAATCTGAACAGGATGCAATACTTACAGAGGGACATCATGCCCTGAGTGTCTGTGGGCCACACGAGGCTTCTTAGGAGGATTCCTGCCTAGGAAAAGGATGCCCTGTGGAAATCACCAGGCCACTCTAGTTCCAAAGGATCTGCAGTGGCTACACAAAGATGGTCCTCTGTCCAACTGCATCCCCTATCCATGCCATCTCTCATGATTCCTGGCTTGTCCAGATGGACTGTGGGTCCTGTAGCTCAGGTGGGCATAAATTCTAGCCTTGATTCACTGTCCTGCAAGGTAGCTTTAGCAGAGGGGACAGGCAGGTGGGTGGGCAGTGCAGAGGGGTCGAAGGCCTCACTGTGCCTCACTGTGTCCCTGTCATTTCATCTTGCTCTCTAGCCTCTCTTCTGCATCTTCTGCCTTCTGTGGACTGCTCTTGCTCCTCCTCCCAGGCCTTCTGGTCCATGTGCTGTAGGCCGCAGGCTGAGAGACAACTGGTCTTTCTAGCTACTCTGGGGCCAAGAACTTCTGGGGGATCTCTTGTGTCTCGCTGGGCCAGGCTTGGGTGGGCATCTTGACGCTACTTTGAAGGAATGAGTGAGGCTGGACACTCACCCAGCTGAGGACTTCCTGTGACTTCTGCATATAAAAAGGAAATTGAGCCAAGCCTTTGGCTGTGTATCCTACTTTGTTGTATGACCTTTGGAGATCACAAAGGATGCTCTATTGTCTCCAGGAAGCAGCTCATCACTAACCTCTAGGCAGACCCTTCAGTCCACTGGTATAAGATGGGAGCCAGGGCAGGCCATGAGAACCACTGGGGTTGGGTCCCTGTGTGTGGATGTCTCTCTCTCTCTCTCTCTCTCTCTCTCTCTCTCTCTCTCTCTCTCTCACACACACACACACACACACACACACACACACACACACACACCTGGGACTTTTCAAGCAACAGCACAGGGTGAGATTTTTTTCTGGGGCTGACATCCACTAGATGAGCATTGCTTGTGACTAACCAAACATGGGTGTCCAAGCTCCCTGGCTGATGATGAGAATTTCAAAGCAGCAGTGATCCCAACCCATTCATCAACTGGGCTCCTTCCACTTTTGCCTCCAGCGGTTGAGATTAGAGCCCCAAATATCCCAGCTTCCCCACCTAAATGTGCCCCATACAAGACACATTGAGCTGGGGCTGTTTCAAGTCTTCAAGAGGCCAGGCTTCCTGTTCACACATGAACCAGGACCACCCCAGAAATTCAAGTCTGGGAGGCTAGCAATGCCAACATGGATTCCCCATTTACAAGATGGCATGAACAGACCAAAATACCCTGAGTCTTTGCCATGAAGCTGGGCAAGGAGTGGTATGAGAGGCAAGGGCTCTGGCCTTGTCCTGCAGACTAGGTTCTGCTTGGGTGGTTGAATGCAGGAAGAAGCAACAGGAGATGTGGGTGCTAGGGGCAGGCTCAGGCAGCACAGTCTCCACTCCTACCCCACTGCCTCAGCCTGGGGGCCTCTAGACAAGCCTAACCCTGCCCTGTTACTCTGGCAGCAGCCTCCTCTCCTTGGGATCCTCTCCATGAGGCACTGGCACAAAGAAAGAGCAGCGATAGATGTGGGAGCCCTAAGCTCTGCTGCCTGAATCCTGGGAAATGAGAGGAAGGGAGATGCCAAGTGCTGATCCCCTAACTCTGAAGACCCTCGCTTGGTGTCGTGAGAGCATTGGAGAATCTCTCTCTCTCTCTCCCTCTCTCCCTCTGTCCCCCTCTCCCCCCTTCCTCTCTCTCTCCCTCTCTCTCTCCCCCTGCTCCCTCTCTCTCCTCTCCTCTCTCCTCCCACATCATCTTGGCCTCTGGACCTTCTCAGAGCAACATGAGCACTGTGGAGGGGCTCAGGCTGTGAAGAGAATGACTCACTCATCACCCAGTTAAACTAATAGCATCCAAATCTTCCAACTTCACTCTCAGGAGGGATTAGCCAGGTGGCTGGGGGTCCAATAGCTGGCCTTCCTCCCAGCCTCCAATTGGCTTCACTGACCTCCAACCCTCAGGCAGTGAGGCAGGTTCTGGATGACTCAATGGTGGTGGGTGCTGCCTTGAGCTAATTGGGAAGATATTTCATTGCCCAGTGAAACTAACTCCTTCCAGGAAGGGGGGAGTGGAAAGAGGCTTCCCTCTTGGCCAGCCAGCACTCCTACCCTGACTGGTGCCTCTTCCCCATACCTCCTCCCTCTGCTGCTTCCTAGTCATCCCTTGTGAGGGATAAGGAAATACGATGCCAAACCAGAGGCCCTCCTCACTTTTTGCTCCCAGGAACATTCCCCATGAATCCCCTGTGGCTACTCACCTTGCTGCTGGCCCTGAGCCAGGCCCTGCCCTTTGAACAGAAGGGCTTCTGGGACTTCACCTTGGATGATGGGCTGCTTATGATGAATGATGAGGAGGAGGCTTCAGGCTCAGACACCACCTCAGGTGTCCCGGACCTGGACTCTCTCACACCTACCTTCAGTGCCATGTGTCCCTTCGGCTGCCACTGCCACCTGCGTGTTGTTCAGTGCTCTGACTTGGGTGAGTTACTAGGAATTTGAAAGTGAGAGTGTCTAAAGAAGCATAGGCCCTGCCTGGGAGCCCCTACTAAAGGGGATGCATGGGCTATCCCGTGACATGGGTGTAGAATGGTAGGGGTGGGAATGTTATGAGTCACCACTGGCTGAGGGTATGAATGTTTGAGGGTATCCAGTGTCTGGCATGTGAAACGCAAATAGGATGTGCAAGCTCTCAGAGTCCCTTCATATGTACTAGTGTCTCTGTGTGTATCCATATGCATGTGTGTGCCAGGCCCAGTCTGTGGCAACAGACTGGATGAGTGCTTATGCTGGTGATGGTGCTGCTTCCCAGGTCTGAAGACTGTGCCCAAGGAGATCTCACCTGACACCACACTGCTAGACCTGCAGAACAATGATATCTCTGAGCTCCACAAGGATGACTTCAAAGGCCTCCAGCACCTCTATGTAAGCCTCCTCCTGGCACCTGCCCTTTATGAGGAGCTGGAAGGAGCTTGATGTTCCTCTGGCTGGGAGGAGGGTTATTCACAAATGGGGCTGGGAAGAGGGACTGGGACCAGTAGAGCTGAAAAAAGTCTGGAGCTGGCTGGAGTGAATTGTGTATAGGGTACCAGACAAAATCCCTCAGGTCTGTTCCCTTTTTGACTGAAACCTTTGCATTTTATTGGCTCCTCTGAGCAACACAGAAAGCATAGATTCCACTGTAGCTCTTGGAGAAACTGAACTAGCACACTTGTTGGCAGTAATTGGCATTCCCAGTGCAGCTTGGAGCTAATCTCAGCTCCTTGCCATGCACTCTGCTCACAAACCTCCATGAGACCGAACAGGTTCAGATGTCTCTCGAGTACCATCAGTAGTAAGTCCAGGAGGCAGAGGAAGAGGGGAGGTGGAGTCAGGGGCTGGGATGCTCACCTTGGTCCCTGCCCTGCCTCAGGCCCTGGTCCTGGTAAACAATAAGATCTCCAAGATCCACGAGAAGGCCTTTAGCCCTCTGCGGAAGCTGCAGAAACTCTACATCTCCAAGAACCACCTGGTGGAGATTCCTCCCAACCTGCCCAGCTCCCTGGTAGAGCTACGAATCCATGACAACCGCATCCGCAAAGTGCCCAAGGGCGTATTCAGCGGGCTCCGGAACATGAATTGCATTGGTGAGAGTAGTCTATACCTTGGCATCAGGTATAAAAGAGCCAGATAGAAGACATATCTTCCAGCCAAGGCAGCTGGGTACTGGACTGTGCTGTGAAATCATAGAAAAGCCCTGTATGCCTCAGAATGTTTCAGAAGCTTGTTTCAAGACACGATGAAGGAGGCTGGGGTGGCTTTGAAGGCTCAATTCAAGAGTCTCAAAAATAGTCTAAAAGAAGACCAGTGTTTCTCGACAAACCCCAATTTGAGTAATCATGGTGGATAAAGAGAGGGTATAGGACACAGGAAGAGTGGGCTGGTAGCGAGAATGGAGAAGGGCAGTGCAGCAGCATAGCAGCAGAAGTTGGAAGCCCTGACCTTATCTCTGAATCTCCACACTCATTCTTAAATTGCTTTCTACAAGAGGTGGGAAGAGCCAGCAATCGGCAGATCCCCAGTCCAGAAAAGAACAGGCTCCAATGGTGTGTGGGGTGCCACTGATTGGCTCCAGGCTAACAGGGCTTCTCTTCTAGAGATGGGTGGCAATCCCCTGGAGAACAGTGGCTTTGAACCAGGAGCCTTTGATGGCCTGAAGCTCAACTACCTGCGCATCTCAGAAGCCAAGCTCACTGGCATCCCCAAAGGTAGGAAAGTGTCAATATTGAACCTCCTGGAGCATTGAAAGGGGTTTGCCCAGTGTACTTTATCAGGGACCTCCTCCTGGAGCAGAGAGTGGGTCTCTACCTGCCCCAGACCCTGTACTTACCCAGCATACTCTCTTCTGAGTAGATCTTCCTGAGACCCTGAATGAACTTCACCTGGACCACAACAAAATCCAGGCGATTGAGTTGGAAGACCTACTTCGCTACTCCAAGCTGTACAGGTGAGGCTGGGTTAGTTCTTAGATGCTGCAGGGTTCCATCAGCAAATGGGGCAGGACATAGGGTGGCACCCATATCTTCCACCGATCTAGCCTCTGAAGACTTCTAATTTACTTATGTTCAGGCTGGGCTTAGGCCACAACCAAATCCGGATGATTGAGAATGGGAGCCTGAGTTTTCTACCTACCCTTCGGGAACTCCACTTGGACAACAACAAGTTATCCCGGGTGCCCGCTGGTCTCCCAGATCTCAAGCTCCTCCAGGTAAGAACTGACTCTCCAACACTGGGTGGATACACGACACCAGCCTCTGAAGTTCCTGGTTCCCCTGATCCCCTCGCCCCCCCCCCTTTTTTTTTTTACAGCAGCCCAGGGTAGAGAGCATAACAACACCTAGATTACTCTCTGGGCCCCATGTCATCATCCATACCTTACTGGAACAGTGCCCACTGTCTGTTTGTACTAAGGCAATGCTAACTCCCATCTGTGGGATTTCTTCGGATGGGAAGTCTCTCTTCCTGACTTAGCTTCCAGCTCCATAAGTAAACTAGGTCTTTCCTTATCCTGTTCTGTACCTCACTTTTATCTCAGTTCCATTTATAATGAGGCAGCACGGTCCATGCCAGGCTGTGAGCACCCTCTAGTGGCCTGCGCCCTTATTACCACCAGTGAGCTCCTAACCTAAGGCACCATCTTTCCTATATAGATAGCCTGTCAGGATCAATGTTTGCTTCCTACAGCGGCCTCATTCTACCATACAAGGCTCCACCCCACCCATCCTGACTCACCACTCACTATACACCTCACCTGAGCCTCTGGTCCTCACATGGTGTCAGTCATATACCAGTACCCTAATCACAGCCAACACCCACTCCAGTCACTTTCCTCAGTTGTGGAAAAAATCACCAACTGGCCATTAATGAGTGACCATAAAGTGATACTAGGAAGTGACTGATGGAGTCCAATGTGGAGGCAGTCCTGACCCCTCTTACATCTGCCCTCCATCTTTCCTACAACCTACAACACCTAGCCTGCTGGGACAGACTGGGAAGGGTGGTATGTGGCACTGAGCCCCTCTTCCCCCAGGTGGTCTATCTGCACTCCAACAACATCACCAAGGTGGGCATCAATGACTTCTGCCCCATGGGCTTTGGAGTCAAGAGGGCCTACTATAACGGCATCAGCCTCTTCAACAACCCTGTGCCCTACTGGGAAGTACAGCCAGCCACCTTCCGCTGCGTCACTGACCGCCTGGCCATCCAGTTTGGAAATTATAAGAAGTAAAGGCAGTGGTAGCCACCATGATGGCCTTGGTGAGAGTCTCCGAGGAACATAGCCAGACGTTCTACAGGGGAAGGGGAAGCAAAGAAGCCAAGCCCCCTCCCTGCGCCTTTGTTCCCCAACACTAGCTCACTGCCCCACCACAGCCTCCCTCTGGCTCCCAGTGCACGTATGCACATGGCCTGGCCCTCTCACCCATTCCCCTCAGCTTTTGAGATTTGACACTCACCTACCATATCCACTCAAAGACTCCCTATAAACCTTGTCCATTCTGTCACCCAGATATCAGTGGCAGGAGGAGCTTGCAAGTGTGGACACAGCACACTGGTACAGCTACTGTGCCATCCAGGCATGTATTCCTCTCTTCCTCGCCCATGTCCGTCTTGTAGCTCTCTTGGGCCATACCTGCTGCCTTTGGCCTCTGGTGATCCCCAGTTCATTACCTGTCCATCACAGACATTACTAGTTCCTGGAGCAGTCCTTCTTTCCAACCCTGTTATGCTTCCTTCTAGGGTGCTAGATCTGTCCCCTGCCATCTCTCTGGACCCAGTTCATATCTCTCTGTATCTCTCTACCTATGCCTTTATCTGTCTTTCTGTCTGCCTATTTCTATCTCTGTCTGGGTGTATCTTTCTGACTCTTCCTCTCCTCTCCCTCCCTTTCTTCCTCCCCCTTTCTCTCTCTCTCTCTCTCTCTCTCTCTCTCTCTCTCTCTCTCTCTCTCTCTCTCTCACTCTCTCTCTCTCTCTCTCTCACACACACACACACACACACACACACACACACTGACCATGTGCTAGGCTGCTTTCTGCTTCATAGGTCTCTGGCCAGTTCCTGCACAAATACATCTGGGAGCAACTATCTCACTGATTGCCCTGCCCAGCACTTGACCCCTAGCGCTGGAGGAGGCTTGAAGGTGGAGGCCAAGAACCCTGTCTATATTGCCCAGGAAGGGCAGCATACTCGGCTATCAAAATGAGGAGCAGGAAGCTTCCTAGCCCCTGGAGATGCTCAGCAGGCCACCAGAGCCCCCAGAACCAGTTTGCATTGGCCCATGTCCTCTCCCCAAGATGGCTAGGTCCCTCTCCCTCACCTTTGGGTTCCTGCTGTGGTAGGGATTGGTGAGCAGTTGCACCCAGCTGGAGGAAGTGCTGCTTCTGAGATCAGTTGTCTTTCAATTAAAGAAACACTGTGCAATATGACTCTGTGTGCTACTTCTCTGGGACATGAATGGGCTTCAAGAGAAGAGCAGAGGTGAAGCGAGCAACCTCCTCAGGCCACCTCCGAGGGTCTGCCTTTCCATGCCTCCTTCCAGCCCTTGCCCTCAGAAGAAGGACCTCCTCATCCTTAGAGCCAGAGCTATAAAAGCACATAGCAAGTGAGCAGACATAAAGCCTAGGCCTTGCCTGCTATTATCCTCCTTTCTTCATCCTTCCATTGCCCCAGCTGTTCTTAATCTGAACCCCAAAGGCAGGCCACGCCTGAGGTTACAGCTGCTCTCCCAGAGTGGAGCATTTGTCAAGCACTTTCTGGCTATGGGATACCAAGGTAGGTCCCACTTCCTTCAAGAGGGGAACTTTAGTACCCCAGCAGAACCCTGTCTGCCAGCCTAGATGGAATTAGGGGAACAGAATAATTCCAGAACCCTGTTGCAGTCTGTGCAATGACTAGTACCTGTGTTAACACTGGGAGAGGGAGGGCAGAGAGAAGGAGCCCCTGACATCCGGCAATATATTAGTGTGGTACTTGGGCCAGCCTGGTTTGCCTTCCCACCCAGCACCCCACAGGTCTCTGAGAGGTGAGAGCAGGCTGCAGCTGGATCCTGAGGGAGCCTCTAGTTTGGGTTCAGAAATCATGCCCAATGGGGACACAAGCTTCTCGGGAAACAAACAGACCCCTTTAGGGTTGAAGTGCACCCAGGCTAAGCACAAGGCCTCCTGCTCCAGACATGGGAACTGGGGCTGCCCTATGTAGTGACAGCCAGCCAGCAAAAATAGAGCAGCCAAGGCCAGTTTGAGTGACAAGCCAGAAGGGGTTCACCTAGAAACATTGCTTGTGGCTTCTCACACACAGCCATACCCTTATGCCTGTCCTGGAATCCCAGGCACCCAGTGTCCCCAGGTTTCTCCTTTTGGGGATGGGAGGTGCCACTCAGTGTGGTGGCCCAGCGATAGAATGTCACCCAGCAGCATCATAGCACTATTCTGGGGCATGTGCTCCACAGCCTGGCAATCTCTGCTGAGCTGGGCAGACACAGGGCAAGGGCACTGGCCTAGGGCCAGGAGTCAGGGCCTCAATCTGGTCCCTGTGCTGGTGGGAAGGAGTGGCAGGCAGCAATGAGCCCTGGTAGAGACAGAAAGATGAAGCCCTCCGTGGTGTGTTTCTCTGGGGTGTGTGGTGGGAGCAGGATTCACCTCAACAAGTCCTCAATAACCCCACTACATCTGTTTTACCTTCCTGCCTCTCTCCCCGGCTATTTACCTTTCTTTTCATTTGGCTTTCTCTCATTTTAGGAAAGTATACAAGGCTATCCTCTGCAGGTCTCAGATCAGGGATCCAGTAGGGCAGTGCCACCACCAGCAGCTCAGGAGACAAGTGTTACATAGGTATTAAGTTCAGAGAAAGGATACCACAGAGAGCTCCATCCACACGGTCTAGACCAAAGGCTGTAAGCCCCCCGGGCAGAAGCCCATGAGGCTGGTAGATCATGGTTAAAGGTAGACTCCATCTAGAGAGCACTTGGTCTTGGCCACAGGAATGAACTTCTCTGTCTTGGGACTGGAGAGATGGCTTGGCTGTTATGAGCATTTGCTACTCTTGCAGAGGACCCAGAGTTGGTTCCCAGAACCCACACTGGGCATCTTACAAATCATTTCTTTTAGGGACTAAGCTTGCTCATGGTACACATACATACACTTGGACACACACTCATACCCATAAGATAAAAATAAATAGATCTTCATACACACACATATATATTCTTCAACTTCACTCTATTATTGAGCGCATTTCAAATTATTAGATAATAATGACCTGAAAAAAGTCACAATGAAACAAGGTGTGGGGGTGTATTCTCTAATCCTAGCAAGAGAATCAGGAGTTCATGGCTGACTTTAGGTACATGAGACTCAGTCTTAAAAAAAAAAAAAAAAAAAAAAAAAAAAAAAAAGCACAAAGCACAATTACATTAAAATAGTCCCTGGGACCCAGCAGTCCCCAACCTTCATTTTCATTGGGTTGGAAAGTAGGGTTATAGTCGAGTTAGTGGCTTTGGTCACAGGAAGCCTCAGCCTCGTTGCAGTGATTATGCAGAGCATAGAAGACAAGTTCCAGCCCAACATTTTTTTGAGTATGAGTACCTGGACTTTGGGACAGACTGTGTGAGGAGAGAAAGGAAGAGCACATTGCAGGGTCATGGCACCAAAACAGCCTGGTGTGCTGAGTGGGGAGAAATGTGAGATGGGAAAGGGGCTGTGAGCACCAGAGCCTCTAAAGGTGGTAGGCATGTTCATATGTAACTCAAAGCAGAGGCCAGCTGAGCAGCCATCAAACTGCTGAATACTCACATGCACAAACATATATGAACACACATGCACAGAGAGAAACACACATGCATAGACACACAAATTAACAGATACCCAAGTGCACACATATATACACACGCACATGTGCACATACAAGCCTATGTATGAACACAGAAGCACATGTGCATAGAAAGTCAGGCAAGCACACAATGTATGCACATGAATGTACATAAAACAAACATATCTAGACAGGCATGCACTGCATCGAGAGAAACACACAAAAAGGCACATGCACATATAGTAGAAAACACACAATTACATAATAATGTGTGTCATTGGGAACAGCTGTTCTATGAAAAAGGTAGTTGCCAAGGAGTGGCCTTTGAGAGGCATGGGACTAGGATAAGGAATTTTTCTGAACACTAACTACAGGTCAGGTGCCTTTTGCATTCAGTGGGTCCCAGCTGGAGCCTAAGCCAAATCCACTCACTACTTAGGTTTAACATGTCAGATCTTGTAGAAGAGGCAATTGGCCAGGTATCCTGGACCAGGGCCGAGATGGAAACAGGGCTCCTGGGGAGAAAATCCCTCCATGAAGGGCCTGAGGTGAAGGACCTGGAGTAGGGGCAGCAGGCTGCTTTGAAACTGTGGAACAGGCTCTTCCCATGGGTTCCAGGCTCTTCTATGCACTCTGGGATCCCTTTGGAAAACAGAGACCATAGGAAGAGGTGAAGATTCTATTGTGGACACATGAAGTACAGCCCTTGTTCCCCTTGGCTTCTGAGGGGACACATACCTTGGGGACCCAGAGCAAAGAGCCTGGTGCTGAGGGGCCCCAGTGTCCACTGCACAAGGAGTGACTAGGGAAGAGAGTAGTTGTCCTAAATAATGAGCTGGTCCTGCTCAAGAGGCATGGTGTTTTTTAAAGAGTCAGTGTGTGTGTGTGTGTGTGTGTGTGTGTGTGTGTGTGTGTGCAACACATACACATATGCACACACACAAAACATAGCTGAATAGAGCTTTCCAAAAGTACCAACTGTGGGATCTAATGAGGCTAAGCAAGCTGGGACGTGGCAGGTATGCAATATACAATTCTTTGAAATATGACTTTCCTTGGGGAGTAAGTTGAAGTTTATATGAGTATCCTGGCACTTCTGTGATAAATTATTTCAACCGACCAATAATAAAAAATAAAATAAAATAAAATTTACTCCTTTGTGGTTCAAGGGTCATGTTGGCAAGTGGTACTCCCTGATAAGGTCTATGAGGACACATCATGCATTATGTAGCTCTTGGTGACTCCTTGTGCTTAGCTACTTTACTAGGCCTCTGTTGTCCATGGTCTCTGCCTATCTTGGAGGGACATGATCATTGCACACGGTGCCTACCTGAATCACCAAAAAGCATCTCCTCAGCTTACTATCCTTCACTTAGTCACATCTGCAATGACCCTATTTTCAAATAAAGACCATTCCAGCAATGGCAATCAGCCAGGATGAGTCTGGGTTGTGGTCAACCTGTTCCAGGGCTGTAGGTGGATGACGTTGACCCTGGAGCTTTGGAAAGGAGCTGTGGTATCAGCCTGGAAAGAGTAGATATGAAAATGGGGATAGGCCAGGGCCTACCAAATGGGCCAGGGTATCTGGGCCTGACCAAGGAAGTGCCTTCCCAGAAGAGGCTGTGACAGCCACACCAAGTGGCAGAAGGGAAATTTTACAAGCAGGGGACATGCCTGGAAGCCAAAGGAAGCAAGGTAGGCAGCCACAAGGTCCATATAGATGAGGAGCCTGGTGGTAGTGACAGAGTGGACTGAGAACTCAGAAAAATGAGAGGGGCTGGACATAAGAAGGCCAGCCTGGAAGGTGGCCAGTTGGCTGCTTCCTGCAAATTTCTTAGGCTAAGGTGACCTTTTTTGAGGTTGCCCAGTAGTAGCCATAAACAGCTCAGGAAAGCACCAAGATTAGGTCCTAGAATGGCAGATTCAGAAGCAATGGGGTTAAGGGTAGGACCAAGAGGAGGAGGAAAGGGACAGGGAGGGAGCAGAGAATCAGCCTAGTGGCTGTCCCCATCACAGACATCTCTGGATCAGGCTCCCTAAGGATTTCCAATGCATGGATTGGTGAAAAACAAACTTTCTAGCAAAGTTCACTAGCAGCTGGTTCCTCTCTCTTCTCACTCTGGATCCAGGGCCCTCACGACTGGCACAGGATAGTGATACCAGGGACCCCCACGAAAGGGACCCAATCTGGTGAGCTGTGGGGAGAGAGCCCATAACTTTTGGGTCCTCTACCATCATTTGGCACTTCATTTCTTGAGTTTCCCCAAGAGGTGTAGCATGACTCCCCAAGCCTCCACTTGTTTGTGGAGAATGTGGGTGACAAAGAAGAGCAACTGGAAAGTGGCCAGCTCTGGTTGCTCTTCAGGGAAGCTGGGGCTCATTCCACTCTTACTTCCCCTATTCTAGGCAGTGGAAATCATGGAGTGTGCCAGGGAGCCCTGAAATATACCCAGCCCTTAAAGAAGCAGTTGTTGATTCCAAGCATGTTCATGGTAGCTATGGATCCTCTGGCAGAGTCAGTGACAGTGTGCTGGGGGTAGGATGGGGGAGCTCTCACATGGAGAATAGCCAGTGCCCAAGGAAAGCCACCTCTGTTGAAACAGAAATATGGGGTATG